AAAAATATATTAACATTTTATATATATATATAATGTTAATATATATAGCAAATATATACAAACAAATATATATAGCACAAAAATATATTAACATTCACCCTGGGAGTGAGTTTTGCCTTCCTCCTTTTCCCTTTTGCACAGCATCAGCAATGTAAAAATGATGTRAAACAGCTCTGAGTGGGAATAAAAACAACTGCTGCTGCCAGAGGCTGAGCAAATCTGAATTTATGGTGGTGGGGACACAAATCCCTTCTCTCAAACCAGAGCCTTTGTCAGAGAAAGGTGGTCAAAAACATCAAAAATATCATCAAGGTAGTCAAAAATTTCAGCAGCTTAATGTCTTTGCCTCTCTTCACCTCTCAGGGACGACTGGGAACATTTCTGCACTTTGGTTTCAGTCCTTCCCTCGCGTTTTCTGTTCATCAGCACTCAGAATTAAGCAGAACAATGTGGATAAGCTCTGTGCAGCATTCACAGGAGGGATGTGGAAGGTGATTTAAAAACAAAATAACAGCATGGAACACAGAAAATAAAAAAAAAAAATATAAAAAAAATAAGGAAAACATTGAAGCAAACACTTAAATCCTCCCTAAATCCCATAATGAGTAAAGACTCAGGGCGAGATGTGTTTTCATTTATGTTTGTTCCTTTTCTCTTATTGATCTTTCTGCTCTGCAAATTCCAAAAGGCAATTTCCAGTGTTCTCAAAGGTTTCTTTTCATTATTTTCATGGTTCTCATTACTGGAATGTCTTTGCATGACTCTACATATGTTTCTTTCCACAAAAGCCCTGTTAAGCAGGGAAGAGCCACTTCAGAAAAAAGAAACTGAGCCCTGGAGTGAAGGGAGATCTTAAAAATCTCTCTGTGTGCTTGACACAGCAGGTAAATGCCTGCTGACATTTCAAGAATCTCTTAATTTTTCTGATATCAGAGCAAATTTGATGCGCAACCATCACAAACTTTTGGGGGTCCAAATTAATGTCTTACTTGTTTGTTTGTTTCTTTTTTTTTTTAACATCTGCTGGCCTCAGACAAATTGCCTGTGGTTGGTATTTCGAAGATCACACCACCCATCTGCCACACAGATCAGTTCCTGGAGTAACAAATCCTGGGCCAAAACTCAAATCAAGATACCCACTCAATCATTCCTCATGAAAATCTGTATTTCAACCCTCATTATGGCTATTGCTTAATTGAACATATAAATCAGAGTACAAATAGCCTCAGTTCCCAAATATTGTCCTCAGTAAATGTAGTCTTTGTGGAAACAAATTAATAATCAAATCCAGCTGCCCTGGAGCCATAAAGCTCTTGGTGGGACTGCATGTCCTGAGGCAGAGCTGTTTTCTTTTGTAAAATTAAAAATTGCTGATTCTTCACTCTGTGTCCCAGGCTGCCTCCAAGGTTGCTGCTACAAGCTGGCCACACATTTTTCTATCTGGCTTTGTTTYCAGAGGCTGCACAGGGTTTTCCAGATGTGTTCCAGCTTTATGAGGGAGCTCTGGTGGGCACTGCAGTGGAAGTGTAGGCTTTGTGCACCAGAAGGGAGATTTCCACCTGTTTGATTGTCACACCTCCTGCAGCATCTCTGAGCCCTCATCCAGCCAGGGAGACTGCCCAGCTCTTACAAGGAAAGCACCAGGAGGAAAAGCTGCTGCAAGTGTTGTGTCAGCTGGATAATGAAACCCATTTACACCTCCTGCAACCACGAGGGAAAGCAATGACAGGAGTCTGGCAAAAATCAAAACAAAATGTCTCTAGTATTGAAACTTCATGACAGTGTGACCTCAAAACTGTCACCTCAAATACTGCCCATGCATTGCTTTTCCCTTCTGTTTTCACCCACAGCAGCCAAAACTGATCCCAAGGACAGAGCTGGGCTCCACCAGGGTCTGTGCRATGGATGGAGATTTTGTGTTGTGCTGTCTGTAGTGAAAGTGTTCTAGAAGACGTGCATTTGCATATTTAAAATATTCTCACCAAGTCAAATTACACAACAGATTGACTTGACTCTGAGTGACAAATGAAGAGTTTGTGATTTGGATACTTGCAGGGGATATAAGGCAAAGTTTAARGCCTGCAAGGTAGTTCTGATGAAAATAATCGATTTCTTTGTACAATTAAATTAATTTTAAAACCTTTCCAAACTCATTGGAAGTCTTGATTTGACCACTAGTGTTGATTTTTTGAGACCATCTGCCTTCAGTCATTTTCTCACTCTTGTAAATTGATTTATGTTGGTGCTCAAAAGAAAGACACTCTGCAGAAAGAGTGATGCTCTAAACAGCCTCATATTTGTTTAATTTCTTGCACATCTGCATATAAATTCAGCTCACTGGAAGGTGTTTTAACCAGCACCAGCTCGTGCCTGAGCCTGTCACTGAGGTGGCATTTTTAACTGCCAGGGGGAAGAAGACTAAAATGATTGTTTTCCTGGTACCCAGCTCTTCTCAATCGAAATAGAGGCAGTGTCCATCATCCATCACTGCACACAACAAACCTCAGCACGTGCCCTGGAGGTGAAACACAGCAGCTCACACTCAGGCACTCAGTTATTGCTGAGCTTTTTTAATACCTGTGTGTAATTTTATCTGCTGATCAGTTTTTCCATCCTCATTTCAAATTCTGGTTTCTTGTTCCTCGACACATGAGGAGGAATTGCAGTTTTGGGGWAGTTCTGCTCTCCTGCTATCGTTGTGATCATGATTCAGAGTTGAAGAAATCATTTTATTGCATTTAGATATTGTCTCTATGATTCATATACGTGACATAAAAATAGCGTGGAATAAATTCAGCTCCAATTTTCTTCCAGGAAGTAAAACAATAACCGCTTGATAAGCATGAACAACCATTCCTGGACCAAACACAATCTCAAAGAAAGTGGTATGTAGATGCMAGGATAGGTTTACCTGAGCACAAAWCTGCATTTTTAGTTAACCCTTTTGAACACAGATTGATATTGCCTTTCTGAAACAGGTGGCAGTACTAGGGGTCAATACYATAATCCCATCAGCCTTCTAATCCATTTAGCTAAAGCACTTCAGAGTGAATTCCAACACTGKTAAAGCCAGAGGAAGTTTTTTCTTGGAGTTTCAGGGATACAAAATTTCCACCTCAGTGTTGTAAAGTTCAGACTTACTGGGGGAAAGAAAAAGGGAAAAAATAATCCAAATGAAAATATTTCTAAGTTACTGGTGAACATCGAACTCTTTTCCAAGTCAGATTTCTTAAGGTATTTAAATGCTGATCTCCAAAGATGTCATTGGAACCAAGAAACKACAGAACTTGGATAAGTAGCAAGGTGAGAGCCCAGAGAAGTGTTGTGGGAGCTCGACCTCAGCACACAAACAGTAGGAACACAAAATTCCTTGGCATCTCTGCTCTTATAAAAAAAACAGAAGCCCATTTTTTGCACATCTCATGCAGCTGGTCTCTGGCTTCAGCAGCAGTGCATAGGACACACAAGTGCAGAATTTGSTCCTAATAATTAACCACGCTGTCCTCAGGTTGTGTCACTTGTCCCTGCCGTGACATCAGTGCCAGTATTTGAAAGCCACAAACCTCAGGGCTTTTTTCCTGTGTTTCCCAAAGCAAAGAGTTCAAAGCCAGTCAGTAAACATTTAAAAAGGGGACACCAAAGAGTCCCAAAATTTAACAAAAAGCTCCACCAGAAGACCACATAACTTTATCTGTTTTCCTTTAACAAAAGAAGACAGCTTTCTTTCATCACACACATTTCAGACCTCTAATAAGCTGCTGGTCTTTTCTGATTTTTTTGTCTCTTTGCTGTGCATGCAAGGACACTGCTGCAATGTTCGTTGCACTTTTGTGAGCACAATTAACAACTGAGAAGCTGCCAGAAGTGCTCAGGTACCACAAAACACCAGGACAGGCCACCTGGACTGTTCCCCTCTTGGGTCAGAGAGGGGAGGGCAAGATTTGCAAGAGCAGGAGTGAGGCAGGACCTCCTCAAAAAGCAGGCAGAGCCGCCACCACTCACCTGGAAAAGGTCACCGTTCATTTTGCTGTGCTGTGAGTCCATCTTGCAGAAGCAGCAGCGCCTGCCCAGGGAGGACACTCCACTCCAGCAGGTGAAGCTTTCTGAGCGAGCCGCAGCGGCTGGACTCCGTGTGAAGGTATTTAAAGTGCAGCAATGAGCAGAGCCATCCCCTGGGCCGGCTCCGTCCCCTGGACAGGGTGCCAAAGGGGCGTTCTGTCCCATCCCAGCCCATCCCATCCCATCCCATCGCACCCTCGGCGGGCACACGGACCGGCCACCCCTGTCCCCCGCGGGTGCCACCGGCTGCTCCTGTCCGCGCCACCGAGGAGGAGCAGTGCTCTGAATGAGCCTCCTTCCCCCTCCTGATCGCCCTGGGCTGTTCGCATTTCCTCAGGTTTCCAGCTCGGGCTCCTGCCCGCTCCTTCCCGCTGCGGCTGCGGGCTCAGCCCCCGGTGCGGCTCCCATCGCGGAAACTCCGCTTGGAGGATCTGCTCCTCCCCAGGATCTGCTCCTGCCCAGGATCTGCTCCTGCCCAGGATCTGCTCCTGCCCAGGATCTGCTCCTCCCCAGGATCTGCTCCTGCCCAGGATCTGCTCCTCCCCAGGATCTGCTCCTCCCCAGGATCTGCTCCTCCAGGATGTCAAACATCAGGCTTGCAATGCTCTGCGAAGCGCAGCACTGAGGGATTTGTCCTTTAGTAGGGTCTGTGGGGCTGCTTTCAAAGAGCTCAGAGAACTGGAGGTATCGCCCCGCTCACCCGACACTGGGGAGAGAAACACGGTACGAGGAAATGTGGGATAGGAGTTATCTGCACGGACCTCACTGGGATATGAACCTGAACATGGGGAAAGGGAACAAGGCAAAGGAAGGGAAGGAGCAGGAAAGAGCAGGGCAGAGCTCCAGGGCTCTGGAAGATGTGGAACTGCAGAAGATGTGGGTCAGCTATAGTGTCAGCCATGGGGAGCACAAGGGTGAGGCACATAAACGGYTTCAGGAAAGGTTAATGTAGTACTGGTATGAAAAACCCCAGATTTGGGTTAATCAGAGTCACCAGAGCAGGTATGGGAAATTGGAAAACTGTAACCCAGTATCAGAATCAGGTGAAAAAATGAAGCAACAGGGCAAGCACCTACCCTGCAATTTGGGGAGATAAAGTCTTACAGAGGAAAAATGTGTCAAGGCACATACTCTGGTTGCATTTTCACAATGAACACAAATTCTCTTTGCAGTTATTTTATCCTTGAGGGAAGCTCAAGGATACTGCACACACTTGTGCAAGCTCAGATTGCTGAACACCAGCAAACACTTAGTGTGAATTGTTCATTTGTACAAAATCCAGTAACCTCACAGCAGTGGGGAAWCTGAGTGGAGCCATTTTCACAGTTCTCAGTCCAAATCCATGTTGAACTCCATGGCTGTGGAGTCAGAACCCATCCCATAGAAATTACCAGCTATGTAACATGCATCAGAAGGAACTCAGCGCTTTGCAAATACGTGATCTTTTTACGAAGAGCTGCTTCTTTGTGCATCCTGAAACTGCACGTAGGGATAGAAAGTTAATTTCTGAAGTGATCAGCAAGCCCGTGGTCTGAGCAGGTCAAGCCAGAGCCGAATGTGATGCAGACAAACACACTGGACGGGGCAAGGAGAGGCAGAACAGGAGGGGAAGGTATCCCCAGTAAYTGACAGTGGTATAAAAACAGCTGGTTTTTAGCTGTTCAGCCAGTAAATTCATTACAATAGCCAGCATTTTGTGTCCAGTGTTTGTGCTGCACAAGGCACAGCCCCATCCATGACAGGGACACTGAAGGACACCTTGGAAGAGGGTGAGATGAGGATGGTGACAGCACTGATGGTGGCAGTCCCTGTGCAGGAGGGACAGACTCCAGCAACGAGTCCTGTTCACTGTCCCCACACACTGTGCCTTGCCACCTGGCACACTTTTCAGCCAGATAAACTGCTTTTTGATCTGTTTGTGCCTTCTCTATCTTTCCTTATTCCTTCTCTTTTCACTGACCTTTTATCTCCCTTTTACGTGYTTTATGGCTTTTACGTGCTTTTGATCATTATTCCTTCAATTTTCCCATTCCTTTTCTTACACATTTTCACTCTAGCCCACGGTAATGGCAAGACCAAGTGAAATACCAAATACCCAAAACACTGCTCGTGCCGAATTGTTGTAATTACCTATTTTTCCTCTTCCTACCCCCTGTTTTTTGTGTTTATTTTGCAAGTTTCTCTGTTACACAATCACAATAATACCGCCGGTGTTTTGCCACCGGTTCGCTGTTTAACCAGTCTGCGCTGCCAGAGATTGACTGGTAGCAAAATGCACCGGGTGGGAGGAAGCACAGCTCCATCTSTCCAGCAGGAATTCCCAAATTCTCTTGTTTTGGGGCAAACTGTGTGTGAGTGCGTGTATGCCCAGTGACATCACAGTGGGAACATGCGCTTGCATCAGTGTTTTTTACCTTGGGCCGTTTCAGAGTCCAAATTGCTGGAGCTTCCCTTCTCAATTTGCGGTGTTAATTCAGCGTGGGTTTGTCCCCTTGCAGTGACACAGACGGGATTTCCCCCCCGGCTTTCCAGTCTCCCCCTGTGCCTGATTCCCCCTGAGATTTTTAAGTCCACTCGTTCTGCTCTGGGATTTTGCTGCCGCACCCCGCATCACCCCGCTCCTTTCAGCCACACACAGACACGCTGTGATGTCTCACTCGCCTGAAAACACASGTTGTGCCTCAGAAAAGCGCTTTTTTAGGGTCCGCACACACACACCCCACACACATCCCTTCCCTCAGGGCTCTCAGCGCTGGAAGCCGGGGCCGTGCGAGGCCGAGGGACCGCGGACTTTGGCCGCTTTTCGGGCCGCTTTTCGGGCCGCTCTTCGCCTTCAGGCGGTGTTTGCGGAGCGGCGGCTCCTCTGGAGCTGCGATTGTCCGTGTGGSAGCGAGGATCTGTCCCTTCCCGAGCCGGGAGATCGGGCCTGTGCCCGGCCCGGCTGTCTGAGGGAGCAGCGAGCAGCGGAAGGGGGATTTTCTAGTGAAAACAGAACTGGCGGAAAAATTCCCCAATGAGGATTCCGTGACGATCTGTGCGCGTGTATGTGCAATCCCTCCTTATCGATATCATCGCACTTTATCAGTTAATGTGAATTTACCACGGGTTTCAGGCCGCATTTCCTCACCGTGGCGGCAAAGCCTCCCAGAGTGTCCCCTCTCATTGCAGCGCGGGCTCCCCGAAACCTCAAGGGTTTTTTTTATTTTTGGTTGTCCCCATGCATCCCATGCCCTGTGGATCGCTCATCCCCGTCCCTGCGGGCGCGGGTGGCCGGGAGGTGGCACTGTGTCCTCACGGCACAGACAGCGGTGACATCGGGACCCCCGGCTGTCCCCTGTCCCCTCCCCGGGATTGCGGGGGATCCGGGAAAACATCCCCCAAACCCGCTCCTGTCCCTCCTGCCAGGGCACCACCGCTTCGGGGAGCCGCGAACAAACCCAAAAATGACATCCCCCCCAAAAAAGTGTCGCTGGGGGGTTGGMCGGGTGTGATTTGTCCCCCGGGACTGTGACAGGATCAGTGAGGCCACCCGGCAGCGGAGGAGCCGCGGGGGGAAAAGCTGCCTCCACCCCTGGTTTGGGTTTGCTTTGGTGGGATTTTTTTTTTCCCCTGTTTTTCTGTTTTTTTTTTTTTTTTGTTTTTTTTTTTTTTTTTTTTTTTTTTTGCAGCCCCTATATGCAAACTGTCACTTCAGGTTAGCACAAGACCTGATGTAGCTCATTAGCATGAGCTGTATCTAATATGCTTAAAACCTCTAATTATTTATTATGCCCTAATTGGCAGCCCAAGAAATGTCTGCAAAGTGATGAGTGTTCATCCCAAGACGCYTTTCGAGGAGAATTCAGCAGTGTCCCTGGTCAAACGTCATTTTTAATTCTTCGTTGGGGCACAGKCTTTATTCCTCTTGTACACCATACAACACCAGGAAAACTCGAATTTGCCATCGCATAACCAGCCTCCCTTCACCCTGCGCAGGATGGGCAACAATTACTCAAGAATTAAAGTTCTTATTTCCATGAAGGGACGCTTAGGAAGAGGCGTTAAAGTTTATCAAGTATGCAAAAGTGCAAACACATGGTCCTGGAAAATTACTTACCCGAAAGAACATCTCGCCTTTTCAGGAGAAAATAACTTTCCTGACTTCTGAAAGTAGCAAATTTTGAAAATTAYATGGACATGGAAACTGTTTCAAAATAAGTTTACTTCTCCGGGGTTGATCCTCCTCCCCCCATCCGCCTTCTAAGTGCCTTTTATTTTTTTTTTCCCCCTTCCAAGTCTGTATTATGTTTCTCCGGGCCGCACCAACTATTTATTTATCTTTATTCTTTCTCTCTTTCTTTTCATTCATTATTCTCTCTCCCTCTCTTTTCCCCCCCGCCCCTTCCTTGTGTGTGTGGCTTCTCAGTCTGATCTGTAGCTTGTTACCACCCACTGCACGCTCTCTCCTGCAGCCGAGGTGTTTCTATACAAACTTCAGCGTCCAGTTGTCATATTAATTATTACACTGAGTAATGACTGAAATAGTCAAAATAAGGGGAGACTCAAGAGAGCTTTTTCTTGCTGCTCAAAGATTCAGCAAAGAAGCCTTGCAACAAAGCACTAATTGGTCCCCAGAAATACTCTGACAAGGCATGGAAGATAGGTTTCATAAAGCCCAGCAATTGTGAAGGGGGAAAAGATCCTTGAATAGACCCCACGCTTCTTTTCTAAACTCTCTTGCTGAGCAAAAAATGGACTGCTTCTTGAATACTGGACTGATCTTGAATGCTATACCCAGCAGAGAAAAAAATGCACCATTTATTGTAAGTTTTTTTTTCCAGCTATTCATGTGTTCTATGTGGAGAATAAGCTGGTTTTGTTTACCATGAAAGACCTTTTACTTTATTTTCACTCTTGGGGGGGAAGCTGGAAAGGCGAGGGGGAGGGCGAGGGGAGGGAGAGAAACACATGTGCCCAAATCCAGACGAGCTGCCTACTGTAACAAAATGGAGTGTAACAAATCCTACAGAAGTCCCGAATGTATCGATTCTTTGAAGATCTATATAGATTAACGACTTTCGTTCTGCTTTT